GAAAACCCTTGCCGGCCTCTGGTGGGGCTGCAAGGGGCCCGAATGCAAAAAAGCCAGTCGGGGCCGGCTATTTTGCAGGCGGCCCCTTGCCGCTCTCTGGCCGGGCGGCAGGCCTCGCTGCCTATAAAAGGCCTGCTGCCCAGCCCCCAGCCCTCATTCTTCTCTCCTCAATTCCAGTGAAAAAAAAAGAAGAAAGGGGAGGAGAAGAGAAGAAGGGGCGAAGCCCTGCCGGATTCAGACGCCGATTTCAGGTAATGTTCATAGATCCTATATGTGACTATTGAGTTAAATAGTGCGTATTCTTTAAAAATTTGTTTGAATAAATGCATTATATTTTTAGGGTTTTAGTTGTACTAATCTAGAAGTGCGTATTGTAGATATCGGTAACTACATAGATCTGCTAGTTTGGAATCAATACATTACCGTTGCATTGGCTTACATAAGAAGATATTACGTTGTAGATGTTTATTGCATGAAAGAGTAATATGATCTAGTTATTTCGTTGACAGATATGTCGAACAAACAAATATTCCAAGTTTACCATGGACCAGGAAACGTCCGTTACGGACCAACTGGGGTAGATCTGTCAGATTTTATTGTATCAGAAAGGGGAATTGATAGACCGGCTGAGAGGAGTGTACCTTCTATAAAAGGATGGTTAATGAGGGGCTTGAGAGTTGATCCACAGACAAGTGACATAAAAATCTTTTGGCCGTACTTTTTTCATCTGGGTCCCTTGCCGCCCTCTATTGGGGCGGCAAGGGACCCAGATGAAAAAGTACGGCCGCAAGCTCTTTATGGGCGGCCAAAATTGCAATTAGCCCCTTGCCGCCCTCTGTATGGGCGGCAAGGGCCTAATCGCAATTTTGGCCGACAGCGGCAGACGGCGCGGTCGACCCACCGTCTGCCACGTCAGCTTGCCGCCCACCATTTGGGCGGCAGGGGCTATTTCTGCAATTTTTTTTTGGTCGATAGATTATTTCTGTAAATATTAAAAAAAAATCTAAAAACGAAAAAAATTCTGTGGCTGCGCCTTCCGAAGGAGAGGATTGTAGGCAAGGAGGAGTCGGCTGGTGTTGAACTTGGCCAGGCAGACAGTTATCCCCAGCCGCAAACTACTGCAGCTCTCAGGGGCGAAGCTATATTGTGCTTTGGGGGTGCACATGAACCCTCCAAATTTTTAATTTCTCATTTAAAAATACTAGAATGTACAGTGTTGTACTGAAATTTTCTAGATTTTCAATGGTAACGTCCCTGCCTGAGCGGTTTCAGGTGAAGCCCCCTCTGTAGCTGTCAAAGAATTTGTTGCCGTGAAAGATGTAACGAGCGCCATTGAACACCTTAACAAGCAGAATAATAAGCAAAATCGGAAATCGGAATGGCATTGTAACATCTTACTCAATTCAAAATGCTAAATTCATAGTGATTGTACCAAACAGAATAGCGAGCAAAGAGGAACATATGCTATTTTAACTCTATGAATACGAATTTGGACAACTTCTTTATTTTGTTACAGAGATAGTACACATAACTAGTAAAATAAAATAAAATAAGTAATCGACTCTAATGCTGATTAGAAGCAGCTCCACTAACATTAGAGGGACGTATGCCCCTGACATGTGGGATCCACCCTCGTGGATTTACATGTCATATGTACACGTCCGTCTAATATTTGAGGAGCGTCGTCGTTAGTTATTAGTACTCTCTCCGTCCCATAATATAAGGGATTTTGAGTTTTTGTTTGCACTATTTGACCACTCATCTTATTCAAAAAAATTTAAAATTATTATTTATATTTTGTGACTTACTTTATTATCCAAAGTACTTTAAGCACAACTTTTTATTTTTTATATTTGCACAAATTTTTTGAATAAGACGAGTGGTCAAATAGTGCAAGCAAAAATTCAAAATATCTTATATTATAAGATATTATGGGACAGAAGGAGTAGTAATCTGCAAGGTGAATAGAAGCACTATGCACTACTACAGAATATAACGTCAATGCCGGTTAGAAAGTCTAATCAGTATTCCGACCAACGGTACGATTGGGGCACTGATGAGGGGTGGTCATCAGCAGGGTTTACGATTCTGACGAAATCCGACTGGATTTCGTGAAATTTCGACGAGGCTTAAAAGTAGAAACTGTCTGAGATTTCGAGAAGTTTCATCCAAATTCAAATTTGAATTGATAAAAAAGAAAAAAAATAAAGTCTTATAAATACTATGATATTCAAAGAACCTATTGGGATATAAATTTTCGAAAAATATGATGTATTGTGAGTATTTACTGAAACTTACGTTAGAAAAGAAAAGAATAAAGAATTTAAAAAACAAAAACACTTACATGGGCCAAAACCAACCGGAATTAAAAAAGGAAAACACTTACTGATCGAAATTTCGTTGATTTCGATCGGAATTTCGCCAAATCGACCGGTTTTCGAGAACTTGTTGGCAAACTCAGAGAATTTGTATTCAAATTTTGGTTTATGAAATTTATTCGGAATTTACCGGATTTCGCGAAATTCCGAATTCCGCCAATGTCCGAAACAGAAGTGCCTGTCGAAATCGTAAACCCTGGTCATCAGTGCCGGTTCCGCAACCAACACAGAGAGAGAGAAGAGGCTTGTTCGACAATTCTATCGATGAGCCGATGTCTCGAGGGGAAAATATGTAGTGCAAACCACATATGTAGTGGAAACTTGGAAACTACCGTTGGATCGAAAAATGGATGTCCGAGATTCGTCCACGTCACCACGAGTTAAAATTTAACTCGCAGATTCACTCATGAGTTAAAAATTTACTGGGAGTTAAATTTTAACTCGTGGTGACGTGGACGAATCTCGGACGTCCATTTCTCGATTCAACGGTAGTTTTCAAGTTTCCACTACATATGTGGTTTTCACTACGTATTTTCCCAGCTTAGGAGCTACCATCAGCTAACCGACGTTGATGGGGTGGCACTGACGACATGTTTTGTAGTAGTGCGGTTCGTTCCTAGACTGGGTAATAATCTGAGCCATTAGTTTACAGCATCAGACCTGTCAAACTGTGGTTTGACGATAGGGTTAATGTTGAGTTGGTAGAGTAAAAAAGAAAAATAAAACAGAAGTGAAAGTGCATGCTGGGTGTTCTGTCAAACAATAATGGTTGTTCCATCTAATCGTACAAAACGTACGGCGACAACGATATCTAGCTATTTGGCTGCATTTAGAGCGTGGAAAAATTGGGAAGTTGTGTGAAAGTTGGTACTTCCTCCGTTTCACAATGTAAGTCATTCTAACATTTCCCATATTTATATTAATATTAATTATATATATATATATATATGTCTAGATTCATTAACATTAATATGAATATGAGAAATGCTAGAATGACTTACATTGTGAAACGGAGAAAGTAGTTTGGAAAAAAGTTAGTAGTTTATGTATGTAGAAAAGTTTTCGATGTGATGTGATGGAAAGTTGGGAATTTAGGAGGAACTAAACACGGCCAAAGGAAGGAGGAGGAACTAGCTAGCTAATTATAGAGTCCAAACAATCAAGTGACAGTAGAGTTTCAATCCTTACAAAATAGACCATAATACAGTTTCACTATAGTGTTACTCTTATACCCCTTCAAAAAATTAAGAGGTGACCAAGCACAATGCCTATGCAACCATGCATCCAAACAACATTCCACCACATCCGAATCAGTTTGTCCAACCAACCAAACGAAATCTTCCGGATCAAGCTAGAGTTGCCGGTGTGTTCGCAAGTGCAGGATGAGAACCCATCCCTCCTGCATATAAAACGGAGCGGTATTTTAACACATGATTAATTAAGTATTAGCTATTTTTTTCAAAAATGGATTAATTTGATTTTTTAAGCAACTTTCGTATAGAAATTTTTTGCAAAAAATACACTGTTTAGTAGTTTGAAAAACGTGCGCGCGAAAAAGAGGGAGAGGGGGTTGGAAACATGGGGTTGCAAAGGATCTAGCGATGGGGAAGACAACCACTTAATTTAATTTAGTTCAACTAAATGAATTACTCCATCCTTTCATATTATAAAAAAAACATGGTATTACTTTCAACATTAACCCTATAGTTTGACGAGTTTATATAAAAAAAATGGTATTATTTTTAACACAAGACTAATATAGTATAATATAGTATATTTAATATTAGATTTAATAAAACTAATTTGATGTTATGAGAGTTGCTACGTTTTTCTGTAGGCTTTATTAAATTTATGAAAGTTTGACTTATTTAAAAGTCAAAACATCTTATAATACCATATTCATCTCAAAATGTATGACACCATTAACTTTTCATGTAACGTTTGAAAAAAAAAAGTTAAGGCTATAGTTTGCTTATGATAAAACAAATTAAAAAAATAATATTTATATAATCTTTTTAAAATAATATGAATGACCAAATATCGTATAAAAAAATAACGACATCATATATTTATATATTTCTTTAACAAGTGAGAACAAAACAGATGGAGTAGCTCACTTTTTTTGGGTTAAAAGTGACATAATTTTATTTAGTTAGACTAGAGTGAATTAATAAGGATTACCACAGGTCGGGTCGCACACTCGCACCCATCCCACAACAACAATTTCATCCAAGTGCCTACAGCCGCACGGCCAGAAACACACACCGAATAATACACAGCAGGAAAATGTCACCGGAGATTGCAGCCAACTGATAAATCCAAACTGCATCAGATTTCGAGTTCTTTAGCATCATACACAGCAGGAGCTACATGTCATATTGCAAAAACCAAACAGCCAATAGTGTAAGGGCACAACTAGTATCATTCATACAGAAGTACTCCCTCCGTCCCAAAATAAGTGCAGTTTTGCACTATTCACGTTCAACGTTTGACCGTCCGTCTTATTTGAAATTTTTTTATGATTAGTATTTTTATTGCTATTAGATGATAAAACATGAATAGTATTTTATGTGTGACTAAATGTTTTTAATTTTTTCATAAATTTTTCAAATAAGACGGACAGTCAAACGTTGAACGTGAATAGTGCAAAACTGCACTTATTTTGGGACGGAGGTAGTACCGATATGAATGAGACGCTACCAATCAGAAGACAGCAACAGCACTGTCTTTTCTGAATAATCAGTAGAGACTGCAGACGTCAACAGACAACATCCCAAATGTTCACACCGGCCCTGTGCTTTGATCCAAACGGCCAACCTAAACACAAACCTGCATGAGAGAAGTGGCAAATTTCAATGATGTGATAATAGATTGTAATGTAGCAGTAGTCCTTGTTACCACTCACCAAAGTTTTATCCTAACTAGCCTACTAACGGTGACTTATGACCGGTATTCACAACTGAGACAATCTCTGACAATGATACCTGCTACCTCATACATACGCCTTTGATACAGAAATCAATTCATTTGTCTAGTGCAATACTCTTATTTCTTAGGAGAATAGGTTGATTTGAAGGGATAAATAATTTGGGGCTTATAGTGCAAAAATGGGGACGACATATGGTGTAACAATGCCCATGCCCACACTACTTTGGTAAAGGTAGGAATGATGAGGATAGTAGTACAAGGGATGTTCATGTACTTCCCTTTTCCTTTTCCATGCTGAATAGGAGCTGCTACCTTTTATTAAAACAGTCAACTACAGCATTTCTAAATGTCAATTAAAGAATTGCCCCTGCGTTATGCATGTATGGAAATTGTGCAAACACATGCAGAAAGACTGGGCACAAAACATTACGACAGCTGATGAGGTCATTGCTAAATATTTTTCAAAAAAAGAAAAGGAAAGCTGCATCCCAGAATTTTTAGCTAAAATTGCAACTGAACAAAGATGTTATCTAAAAGACAAATAGCCCAAAGTGCAAGTAACACACGAAACAAGTTCTAAAATGTATTATTTGTTCCTTTTGATTGCATTAATCATGTCCATAAGATCCCAACAGATAGAAAACAACTGTCGCACCCAGTCATCCACAAAAATGATACATACTACCTCCGTTTCACAATGTAAGTTATTCTAGCATTTTTCATATTTATATTGATGTTAATGAATCTACATAGATATATTAACATCAATATGAATGTGAGAAATGCTAGAATGACTTACATTGTGAAACGGAGGGAGTAACTTGTAAGAACTAAAAAGACAGCATGATCTAACCTCTAGTTGTAGCTGAAACCAGTACAGACAAAATTAAAACCTGCAGACAAGAAAATCAATTAAGATGGGTTAGGCAAAGGATAATATATACCTATACGTACGCAGTATGAGCAGAGAGCATATGCAATAATATCAATAAAATATCCCGACATATACAACCCAAACTGGTCAACGTATAAATTCATCATGCATACATTGCAATTCAACCCAATGATATTATAAAGCTTTTAGAGATGCTTGCTAGTTAGATACATGTATTATATCATCCTTTATTTTTCTCTTTGAATTGTATGGGGAGGTTGTACATTTTTCTCACCCGTGTGCAGATTAAAATGTAGCTATTAATTTCTTTGAATTAGATCAAGATTTTCTTCACGGCTGGGTTTCTTAATTTATACACATAGTCCCGAATTTTCTGTAAAACAAACACAACAAATGTCTGATAGATTAACTCACATCCAGATCCATTGCGTTCACTAGTCTGTTTGATATTAATTTGCTTGAGTGGTATGCCGTAGGTAGTCAGGGTCTTCAAGATTTTCCAAACCCACGTATTGACCTCTTTGCATTCAATTTCAACAATCTTAAGATGGTTGGACACAAATGGCAGTTCTGATGTATTATATTGTCCTTCTGAATCCATTAAACATGTAGGTGCCTGTAGAAAATAAATAACATATAAGCTCAATCAACCATGGATGGTAACTTTAATAACAAGCTCTGATCAATCCGCAGGATGCAATACCTTTTGGAGCTGAATAGTAAGCTTCTCCAAAATTGGTGAATGTTGGAGAAAGCAGATTAGCGCACTGAGGTCACCAACCACACACCATTCATCAAGTAACAAAGTCTTCAACTTGGCAAATGTAGGACACCACTTCAAATCCCTCCTGAAAACATACTATGCAAAGTGCAAAGGATCCAGATAAAATAAGTAACCATCATTCTTTTATAATTAACCAGATATAATCGAAAAAAATATTTAAAAAGATTCATTTTTACAGATACCTAACATGTCCAAAATGTTAGGGTTGTCTATTGGATCACCTAGGTTTAGATCTAGTCGGGTGGTTCTATTTGCGATGGATGATTGAACAACAATAGAGAATAAGGGAAAGGGTTTAGGGATGTGACCGGTTGACGCGTTGGATGAAGAGGAAGTCCCAGCCATCGTCGTTGTCGTCGCTCTGCTTGACGTGGGCGGCGGCGGCGATGGCGGTCGTGACGGCGACGGTGCTGCGCGGCAGTGGTGATCGTAGGGGATCCCGGCGAGGTCGTGGCGCGGCGGTGGAGTCTTCCCGTCACTGGTTGCGCCCCCTCGATCGGTTAGGGTTTATGGGGTGGAGTGGCGGCGGCGGCGACGAACCTCGTTCCTTGTGTCGTTATGCCGTCCCGTCCTCCACCCCTCTTTATATGGCACAGTGTGACGGGGGCCCACCAGCCATTGGGCTGGGCGCCCCCGATCAGGGCGCGGGTCAAGGCCCCCTTGAGCCGTTGGGCTCAAGGGGAGGGAGATCCATCTAACATTCTCCCCCTTGATCTCACTATTTCCTTTAGCTTTTTCTATTCCATCACAGATTTACATATAGAGTATGTTTCATCGTCACGGTTAATTACCGATGGATTCGACAGCCACTATACACATCTCTATTCAGAAACAGATACTTTAACTTTTGGGCCCTATAGTCCAGGATTCATAAGGCTTCCCTTAAAACCCATGCATGCTACATGTTCCTTGAACATGTTGGGAGGTAGGCCTTTCATGAGCGGATCCGCGAGCATCCTTTCTGTTCTTATGTGCTCGAGACTGATTGTTTGATCCTGGACTTTGTCTTTCACAACATAGTACTTTATGTCAATGTGTTTGGCAGCACCACTTGACTAATTGTTGTGAGAGTACATTACTGTGGATTCTTTATCGCAGTATAACTTTAGTGGTTTCTCAATACTATCAACCACCTTTAAAACCGGGTATGAACTTCATTAGCCAGTTCACCTGCCCCGTAGCCTCATGGCATGCTATAAACTCGGCATACATGGTAGACCCTGCAGTGGTAGTATGTTTTGAGCTTTTCCATGAAATAGCTCCTGCTGCCAGGGTAAACATGTATCCCGATGTTAACTTTGTATTATCTTTTGCAAAGTCAGAATCCGAATACCCCACTATCTGGAGCGATTCTGCTTTTCTGTAAGACATCATGAGGCCTTTTGTTCCTTGCAAACACGCAAGACTTTCTTTACCAATTTCCAGTGCACTGGGCCTGGATTACTTTGAAATCTGCCAAATAACCCGGTAACAAATGCCAAGTCAGGTCGTGTGCACACTTGCGCATACTGTAGGCTTCCTACAGCTGACGCATATGGCTTTGTTTTCATTTTATTGAGCTCATACTGATTTCTGGGACATTGCGATGCCCCATACTTTTCGCCTTTGACTATAGGAGCAGGTGTAGCACTGCATCTGTACATATTGAATTTCTTCAACACCTTTTCTATATATATGCCTTTTGAGAAAATCCCAATGCATACTTTGTTCTATTTCGGTGAATCTCTATGCCCAAAACATATGAAGCCTCACCGAGGTCTTTCATGTCAAAGTTTGAGGACAAGAATTTCTTTATTTCCTGCAGTAGATTGACATCACTACTAGCCAGTAGAACGTCATCTACATACAGAATTAGGAAAATGAGTCTCCCATTCTTAACTTTGAATCAATACAGTTGTCCTCTACATTCTCTTGAAAACCCAAATTTCTTTATTGTTCCATCAAACTTCAAGTAGCATTGTCTCGAAGCTTTGCTTTAACCCATAAATGGATCTCTTTATACGGCATCCCATATTTTCGTTTCCTTTCATGACAAAACCTTTCGGTTGCGCCATGTATACTTTTTCCTCCAAATCTCCATTTAGAAATGCCGTTTTTACATCCATCTGATGTAATTCCAAATCATAATGTGCCACTAGTGCCATTATAATCCTGAAGGAATCTTTACAAGAGACTGGAGAAAATGTCTCATTGTAATCAATCCCTTCTCGTTGCGTGAAGCCTTTTGCCACGAGTCGCACTTTAAACTTTTCTATATTCCCTCTAGAGTCATATTTGGTTTTGTAGACCCATTTACAGCCTACTGTTTTGGCTCATTTAGGAATTTCTTCTAAATCCCAGACATCATTTAATTTCATTGATTTCATTTCATCTTTCATGGCTTCTCATGGCCTCTTCATATGAGATGGGATCATCCTCCATATGTAACTCTTTCAGGCCTTCTAGGGGCCTCCTATTCTGGCACATTATCTGTTTGAGGCTGTTTCATCTCCTCCTCTGATGTGGCAATAATTTCTGTTGAATCCTGTAGAACAGGTTCCTCACTTTCATTCATTGTTGCCACAGGAGAGATAACAACAGGTGTTGGTACCGCAACGGCATGCATTGCTGGCACAACATTAGCAGGTAGAGAGAAGAAAGGTTCCTGAGTCGACGGAGCGGGTACAGACACCCGCCTCTCCTCAAGATCAATTTCTCGAATTACCGAGCTCCCCCTAATCATTTCGTCTTCCAAGAAGACGACGTGTCCCGTTTCTACAAACTTTGTATAACTGTTTGGACAGTAGAAACGATGACCCTTTGATCTTTTAGAATAGCCAATAAAATGGCAGCTTACTGTTTTGGGTTAAATACTTTATCCTTTGCAGGACTCCCCCACACACGGAGGATCCATAGCTCATACGGTGTTTTGGGCACCGATGCATTCTATGCATTGTATGCATTGTTCTAAAACTGAGAACTCCAATGGAGGAAGAACTACATTCTTAACCAGTCTCTCAATTCTCCCCCTCGAAATATGGCATAAACAACAGTGCCATAATTTCGATGAGACATCAGAAGTTCGCTTTCTTTTCTTTTGTCAACGAGGACACAACATTCACATTCTCAGAAAGAAATAAAGCTGATCTTGCAACACAAGACCAATACATTCATTATTATACCATAGTTCACATTTGCCATTTCCAAAATGGCAATCATATCTATCAAAATCCAATTTGGATACACTTATTATCAAGTTTCTTTGCAAAGAAGGAACATAAAAACGTCTGGAAGTAAAAGTGTGAAGCCATTCGCGAGTTCTAGGCGAAGATCTCCAGCCTCAACTTTTGCTTCAACTCCATTGGCAACTCTAATGGATCTTTCACTTCTTTGCATAGTCCTCATTGAACGGAATCCCTTTAAACAATTACACACATGAATAGTTGCTCCAGAATCAATCCACCATGTGGATCTAGAATAACCAATCATAATGAGATTCTTTACAAATGTAATAATGTTCTCACCTTTCTTTGCCATGATCACTGTCAGGAAGTCAGGATGATCTTTCTTGGAATGTCTTTTCTTGCAATGTAGACACTGATCTTGTCTCAACTGTAAACTGTTGCTTCTGAGGCAGATGCTGAGGCTGTTTTTCTTTTGAGGAGGGTGACCTGTGGCTCTTTTCCTTGTTATCTTTGACAAGGTTAATGGAGTCACCATTGGTCTCTTTGTGTCTTTCCTCCTCTTGCACACAATTAGAGATGAGCTCTTCAATATTCCAATTCTCTGTACTTATTTTGTAGTTGACAACAAGGTTGTCAAAGTTCTTTGGCAATGAGGACAAAACCAGATGGACCAGAAAGTCATCTGAGATGCCCAAATCTTTTTGCTTCAATTTGGAAGCCATATTGCTCATCCTAAGAATGTGGTCTTTTACACCACCTCCATGGTACCTCTCTGTAACAAGCTGCTTTATCAGCTGTGTCGCATAAAACTTTGAAGAACCACTAAACTGGCTCTTTATACTTTCGAGGTACTTAGAGACAGTGTCATACTCTGGGATTGAGCCCAATATGGTTGGCTCAATCGTGTTCTTTACCGCAGCCAAACAATTCTTGTTGGCTGAAGACCATTTCGCATGCTCAATGTCATACGACATGATGAGGGAAGCATTGTCCCTCTCTCTCTTTTGCCATTCAGCATCTGACTCTTTTTCACCTCTGAAAATTTCAGCAGGTTCTATAGGACATGGGGTAGTCAACACCCAGTCCACCTCTCCCAAGATAAAAGCAAGGTCGAGTTCTCTTTTCCATTCTTCGTAGTTATCTCCTTTCAGGGTCGGAATATCTTTAATGTAACCCATCAAGGAGTAGCCACCTAAGATAATCATGTATTGTGAGAACAAAATTAACATTAAAATTATTATGTATTAAGTCTACATCACCGTTGGGCAGAAAATAGACATAACACATAAAGCCATAACTATAACATTGCAATTATCAACGTTGGTCAGAAAAATTACAACATCATAGCACATAATTAATGTTCCTAAAATTAAAATCTCCCGTTGGTTCGAAATTTAATTTTAGAAACACTAATTTTCATCAATTTCATCTATTTGCAGCGGAAGATCTATATACAATTCATATAAATTGTAACAAAACTCTGTTGTTTACGCTCTGTAAAATTCTCCCGTTGGTTCAAATTTAAACAGAGATAAAACATGTAAAACAATTCAAAATTCTATTGTAATTTGCATGAAAAATACAAAATACATGTTCAGAAGCATTTCTCACATTTATCTATTCTCTAAACAATTTTCACGTTGGTTCAAATTGCTTAGAAATAAACACAATCATTAAACATATTGAAAATGCTTCCTTCGGCCGAGGGACTTTTATTAAACTTCCTTTTTTTTTATTCGGCCCCGAGGGACCTAAAATGAACTTTTTCGGCCTTTGCCAGTCGGCCCACGGCCGCCTTGCGCGCGGGCGGGCGCCCCCTCCCCTTTCCCCAGGCCGCAACCTGGGCCTGGGCCGGGAAAGTGGCTCGCCGTGCGCTCCCACATGGGCCGATTTCGGTCCGGCCGCCGTCGGCCGTCCGATCGCTAGGGTTTCGATCGGACGGTCGCGCGGGCGGATCGGGCAAACAAAACCGCCCCCGGCCGCCGGCGCCGAAACCCTAGCTCCTCTTCTCTTCTTTCTCTTGCGGTTGCACGGAGCGGCGTCGCCGTCGCCGAAACCCTAGCACAGCGCCGGCGGCGGGGGGCGGTTTTGTTTGCCCGATCCGCCCGCGCGACCGTCCGATCGAAACCCTAGCGATCGGACGGCCGACGGAGATGGTGGCGCCGCCGCGGGCCCCCTCGCCGGCGCGCGCGTGCACCCGCGGGTGCGCACGCGGCTGTCGAGTGGCTCCTCGGCGGTGCCTCTTTGCCCCTCTCCCCCTCCGTGGCCGGCGTCAACGACGGCCGGCGACGAGGTAAGATTAGGGTTAGGGTTTCGATCTTTTCGATCCGTTGGATCGTTTGCTTTTCCTTTCTTTTGGATTTCTTTCCCCAACCAATCTAAACTCTAGGGTGGCTCTGATACCATTGTTAGGGTTGTCTATTGGATCACCTAGGTTTAGATCTAGTCGGGTGGTTCTATTTGCGATGGATGATTGAACAACAATAGAGAATAAGGGAAAGGGTTTAGGGATGTGACCGGTTGACGCGTTGGATGAAGAGGAAGTCCCAGCCATCGTCGTTGTCGTCGCTCTGCTTGACGTGGGCGGCGGCGGCGATGGCGGTCGTGACGGCGACGGTGCTGCGCGGCAGTGGTGGTCGTAGGGGATCCCGGCGAGGTCGTGGCGCGGCGGTGGAGTCTTCCCGTCACTGGCTGCGCCCCCTCGATCGGTTAGGGTTTATGGGGTGGAGTGGCGGCGGCGGCGACGAACCTCGTTCCTTGTGTCGTTATGCCGTCCCGTCCTCCACCCCTCTTTATATGGCACAGTGTGACGGGGGCCCACCAGCCATTGGGCTGGGCGCCCCCGATCAGGGCGCGGGTCAAGGCCCCCTTGAGCCGTTGGGCTCAAGGGGAGGGAGATCCATCTAACACAAAACTGTCCAAATATCAGACATACTGAATGACTTATACCAGAACTGAGGAATCATTGACATTATCATTTAAATTTTTCATTAGAAAAGAATGTTGTGGATTCAAGAACCAACAGTACCAAGCATTGTGACCACGACCAAGTTATATGAAAACTGCACAATAATGCTACCGAAGTGTTGGATATGTTTACTGCATAAGAAATAACAGAAATAAAAAAAATATAAGGAAAGATATGAGAGATGTAGTCTCAAGAATACATACCACTGCAGGATCAGCTGATAACTCCAAGTGCGTAGCTTCCGACAAGCCTTGAAGACACATGCCATTGGTGCCGTAACCAGCAACAACCTCATCAGCACAACCAAAACAATAATCATCATCATCATCATCACAACCACCAGAGACACTCTTCTGACATTTGTCCTCACAAGCTTCATCGAATCTAACAATTGCTTGTAGCAAGGATGGCATGCTTTCAAGGAACGGAGCCCTACCAGGGCAGTAACTTAGCTCCAACGAAACTAGACTCGGAAAACACAACCAAATGTGGTATTCTATAGAAAATTGACACTGGGAGAGGCACAATGTTTTCAAGGATGAAGACGACAGTTTATCGACATAGATACAGCAAGTATCCATATTCAGATTCACCAGCGATGGGCAGCCCGACAGATCAAGAAAATTATCATCGCCACTAATACCTTGAAGCTCTAACCTCGTGAGGTGCTGAGAGATGAGAGTCATGTTAGGCAGCTCGACCCAATCGATCAAACTGATTCGTAGCACCCGAGCTTGGCAGCGCAAAGCTCGCTGGATCCAGCGGACGAAGAGCTGCTCTTTTTCAGGCAAGAACTCCGGGAAATTGATGTTGATACTGCAGTAATTCAGAGGCGCGCTGCTGCTGCGGAGCGTAAAAAAGCGGTCCACCAAGCTGATGAACCTGTCGCCCGGTTCATCGTAATCCCACCACTCCACAGAGAGGCCCGGTGCTTCCTTCCAGAGGTGGAGCCAGCGCCGGGCGAGCACGCACGTCGCCACCGCGTCGTGCACCGGGAGCAGCGACAGCACGAGGTGGAGCACCTCGTCCGGCAGGGCGCTGATGCGGTCCGGCGCCACTCGCTCCTTCTTCTTCCTCCCCCTCGCCGCCGCCACCGCCTTCCTCTTCCGGGGAGCCAGGGGAGGCATTCCGTCGAACGGTTGCCGCGCGTGTGGGTGGAAGTGGAAGCGCGGCGTCGCCTCGGCTCCGCCGAATGGCACCGAAATGCAGCCGCGCGCGCGCGTCGAACGCCGGAACGGCAGCGAGATGGAGTCTGGGAGATGAGTTTGGCCTTGTTTGCTCGCCGCCTCGATCTCCGCCGCTTCGGTCGCCTCGCCGCGCGCGTTTACACTCGCACTCGCGGCTGCCTGCCTAGTCGCCTCGCCTGCTAGCGCTTGCATGCGGACGCTTTGAAGCCAGTGCTAGCTGTACTCAGGGTTCACAGTTCCGACGAAAACCGGCCGAATTTCGCGAAATTTCGATGTTTCAACACGGCTCGGAATTAAGTTTCGATTGGAATTTCGAAGGTTGAACAGTAGATTTGGTCGAAATTCAGTCGAAATTTATCAAAAACCGATCAAAATTTATCGAAAACCATGATACCGATGAGACTCGAAATTTAGTGGTCAACCGATAGTGTAAACCCTGGCTGTACTATTGACATTGCTCTTAAGTATAGCCAACTGCTAACTTCAAATCATCTATAGCTAATGTAATAACCAATTCATACAATAGTTGCTTACTATACTATTAATATCTGATCCCACCTGTCATACATACATTATGTCTTGGAGTCCGTGCTGTACCTGACTACATATCAGTAGCCCGCTACCCTTCTCTCTCTTCCTTTATCTCTTTAAAATATGTTTGTAGCTGGCTTAGGGCAGTCCCAACCCATAGTGTCCATAAGTAGTGTCTATGATGCCATGTCAATAAGATATCACAATAGAAACTACACTCTGCAACCCATGGTTTCTTAAAGTGGATCATTAATAAATACATCATCTCTCTTCTCTACCAATCATATTTATTCTTCATCTGTTATGAAGACACTATTCTCTCCTAATGCAAAACTTGTTAGTTTATAGTGCATAGGTTCTCTTGTTGAAGTCGTGTCTTGCATGAGACTCAGTTTCTTCCTCTCTTAATTAATATAGTGTTACGTAAGCTAAAAATCCTACATGGCAATGTAGTTTTTTTTTTCGGGGTACATGGCAATGTAGTTAATGCCATAGACATAGATCAAAACTTTCTTACACACATAAACTTCCTACTTTTCCGTCACATTGTTCCAATTTCAACAAAACTTCCAATTTTGGCGTGAACTAAACACATCCCAAGATTGGTAACCAAAAACTCTTATCTTTCTGTGAAGGTTCTCTTCAGAACATCCAAGAATAGGTGGTGTTTTGCAGACAATTTCACGGATCTTTTCCATGGCAGGGTTTACATTACCGGTTGACCACTAAATTTCGAGTCTCATCGGTATCACGGTTTTTGATAAATTTTGATCGGTTTTCGATAAATTTCGACTGAATTTCGACCAAATCTACTGTTCAACCTTCGAAATTCCAATCGAAACTTAATTCCGAGCCGTGTCGAGACGTCGAAATTTCGCGGAATTCGACCGGTTTTCGTCGGAATTGTGAACCCTGGTCCATGGAGCAACCAAGAGTGCTACTCAGGAACCTCATCCTTCGCAGTGGCCTTATCTTCTCTGACACGACAATTGGTAGTAAGCATTTGCTTGAATAGGCCAGAGGAGCGTCGGCGTCGCACGCCATGCTCATCGGCGCGCTGCGCACGGACGTTTTCATCCGCTTTGGATTCGTCGTGAGCATATCCTGCTGTGATCACCCAGCTTGACAATATCACAAACAGTTAGCCCGCACACTCCCTGGAGCAGCACGATGTTGGGCTTCATCACCTTCTCAAGGTCGGCAGTGAGGCCTAGGGTTTACATTATCGGTTGACCACTAAATTTCGAGTCTCATCGGTATCACGGTTTTCGATAAATTTTTGATCGGTTTTCGATAAATTTCGATTGAATTTCGACCAAATCTATTGTTCAACCTTCGAAATTCCAATTGAAATTTAATTCCGAGCCGTGTCGAAACGTCGAAATTTCGCGGAATTCGACCGGTTTTCGTCGGAATTGTGAACCCTGGTGAGAACGCGGTACAGAGGGAAGGAGGGTGGATGCGGCATAGGTGTGGAGATGAGTGGAGCAGCGGGAGGAGCAGGCGCTGCCGGACATGGAGCATGGCTCCAGCGGCCGGAGTACGGCGACCGGCAGGGAGGAAATGGCGCCGCCGTCTGGTGACGCCCAACCTCCTCTTTCACCTCTGGAGTACTTATTCCGTTTCATTTTAAGTGCGGTTGTGAATTTTCATATCCAATGTTTGACCGTCCATCTTATTTGAAAATTTTAGGAATAAATTAAAAATAAGTCACGTATAAAATATTATTCATGTTTTATTATCTAATAACAAAAAAAAATCCACAACTATACTTAAAATGGGACGGAGAGAGTACCCGTTAGTTTCAAACCAAAGTTTGATCGAACCCTTTAAACTCCATTACTCGAACATATACACAGGTGATGGAGAATTTCTAACAGATCCATAAAAGAATTTTCTGTTCGAATTCCTTGGCACAGCTCTCCAGATATATTCTTGCTGGGCTTAGAGCTTTTACATTAAATTACAGTAGTTTGAAATTTTATATTTTCTATAAAATATAAATAAATGATTTATCTAAATACTATTAATATAATCACAAATCTATATCCATGGATTTCTAAGGTATGAATACGCACCTTCAACAAATCTTAGATTTGAAACTGTGTAAAACAGAGCCTTATTATCAAGGATATCAGTTTGGCAAATTTGGCAAACCCTGTATTTGGGGATATTAGTTTGGCAAAAACCTAGGCCTTGAGGTTTCCTTCACTGAACCTCAGGTTTTCAAGCAACCCTGCACCGAGCCATCACAAAAAAAAATTGAAATCACAATTTTCATTTCAGTTGAATCAAGCTCCATAAACTTGCGGGCTACGGCCATGTCAAAACCACGTTTTCAAGATTAAAGACCACACGCAGTTGTCATAAATTCTTTGTGCCTACCTGAATTTGTGAGTATGAGAGGCTTGAAGCACATGCCAAGAAACACGCTGGTGATCACCATGCTCAACTGCAGTTACCTTTTAAACAAAAGACACTACTGTTTGAACTATGAATAGCAATACATCACAACTAATAAGTGGCATATACTACCACCAAAAAGCTAATTAAGCAGTCGAGACAGTCTTATAAAAGGATAATTCAAGAAAAATAACCAGCTCCAACAGCTAGACGGTCTAAACAACTCATTATATCCCAGTTCTTCCTACTAGTGGAACTTAATATGAATCTCATTGACAAAAGGCAGAGTTCTTGTCACTGCAAGTTTAAGCCTTGCATTCCTGAATATTCAACAGGTACTTCATCTAGAGGATCCTTCATCATGACTTGAACTCGAATTTCCTTCCTCGAAACTGAAGACTGCAACAACACGTAGAGTACAATAAATGTTACGAGGGGCGGATGGGTGATTCAACCTACAAGGTATGCAATACCCAATGACCTTTCAAAGGTAAGGAGCAGTTATTAATTTTCAAAGACGAAGGTAAATAATTAGCCATACAATGTCAGATAGCATGTACAATAAAGAGCTATTTCACAAGTCAACAAATTGTGTTGTTGTGCAGAACTACTCATTCAAACCTGTGCCAATAACACGAAGTGAAAACTATTGAAGTAAATACTTTTTTTTTTTTTGACATATATAGCTCAAATTTAGAATTCAGCATATTATGATTCTATTTATATTACTCAGTTCAACATGAAAAAACTATGTATACTTCCATGGATCATACATGACAACAAAATATATTGGATCATGCTTTTCTCTTTATCACATCAAAATGTACCTTTCTCTGTCTTTTCCCTTTTTTGCAATTTTAGTCATTCTTTATTTCATTCACAAAGAGAAAAAAATAGAAATTTCAGAGATATTGAAATAATGAAGAGGGCCAACAGTTATCTTACGATTTGTCGACCGATCCATCCTTCTGATAAGAACCACTACATCCAATGTACTCAAGAACTTCACAGTTTCACAGACCCCTTCATCAACTTCTTTACAGTGGACTTTCACTACCTTAAGATGTTTGGATATTGCAGCTGGTTTCACCAATGCACTGTAATTTTCTACTGCCCCTATCATAGGTTTTGTTTCCTGTAGCAGGGAGATGAATTTCAGCTTCAACAAATCATGCACAATAACATTAATAGTGAAGTGGCTGTAAAAACTTCTACCTTGGAAATTTGAAGAGTGAGTTTCAGTAGAACCGGTGAGTGTTCGAGAATACAAGCTAGTGCCCAGAAATTATTAGCAACACACCACTCATTGAGTAACAAAGACTTCAACTTGCTAAACAAAGGGCACCATCTTAAATCACTTCTGAAAATACGCTGCACAAAGTACAGGCGAGAAGATCATTCAATCTTTATAGTGAATGTATGATTTAAGAACCAAGACAGTAGCAATCATGCAAAAGAATGTTAAAATGCCAGATGACGAATATAGGGAAGGAAACAGAAATAATGGACAGCAAATAACACAAAGGGGATAAGATCTTAGTGTAAGTGTACCATTTCAGGTCCAGCTATCAATTCCAACTTCTTAGCTTCTGATAAACCTCCAAGGAGCACGCATTTGGCACTGTCATTGCCAGCATTATCTACCATACCATAACAACCATGACAGTATTCATCTTCACAGTTACCAGAGTAAGTATTACTACACAAGTCATCACTATCTCGGTGGGGTCTGACAAATGCTGCAATTAATGACGGCATGCTTTCCAGAAATGGAACTCTGCCCCAACAATCATCAAGACGGAGCGTAATGAGGTTTGGTGCATAAATGTGAGTGCGGTGATGTTCACTGAATTCAGGGAAGTCGAATGTAAGATATTTTACTGACTGGGACAAGATCTTCTCGACAGAATTAAAACAGCAACTCGCAGAGAAATATATATATTCCAATGCAGGACAGCTGGAGAAGTTGAGGACAAATTTTCTGAAATCCAGACCAGAAAGATTGAGCTCTGTCAAGTGCCTCGAGAAGAGTGAGAAGCCATCGTCCATTTCAATGTATGCATGCATATTTTTTATTGTAAGCACCTGGACTTGGCACATTAGAGCATACATGACCCACATGATGGCACAATGGAATGGATTACTGTCGCCGGACATTATCATCCAGTGTGCACATGAATTGATTTTGATCTCAAACTTGTGTAGAGGCGAGCTGCCACGGAAGAGCACTAGATGGTTGACAAGCTTGATGAAGTCCTTGGGGCTCCTCCATCTCTCTGTATTGGTGATGCACAGGATGGGCGTCAATTTCCAGAGATGGCGCCAGCGCCGGGACAGGACACAGGTCTTCACGGCATCCTCGGCCGGCAGGAAGGACAGAATGTGCTGGAGGAGAGCATCCGGGAGGACGTCGATCCCGTCCTCTTCGCTGGCCTCAGCCATTCTCTTGCTCCTCAAGCTCTTTTGCTTAGGAGACATTCCGTCGAACAGGTGGCGGGCGACGCGGGCACTACCGCGCAAGAAGCGAAGAGCCGACTCACCAGGTGCAATGCGAGGTCCTCGCTTAATCAATCAGACGCGCGGCGCCCATGGCGGGGAGGAGGCCCAGCCAGCCGGGTGGCTGGCCGTGTCGGCGGTGCCTTCGACTTTGCCGTGGTCGGGGCCGGGGCGACGCTAGGACGATGCACCTTGCAGGGACGAGGCGAGGCGACGCTCGTGCCGCACGTGGGGAGGGGGACGCGGCTGCAGTAGCGCGGATCTGAGGAAGATTCGCCGGCGAGCTCGCCGGAGACGGCGGGGTCGTGGCGGTGGATGTAGCCAAAGACACGCTTTCAGGGCTCACTGCTCTTCTTCCACTCTTTTTGGTTGCCTTAGGGCCTGCGCTAGCTACTCCCGAAATCAGAAGCTTCTCAAATAATTCAGCTTTTGTCCAGATTATGATAACATGTAACGTAGAATCTAGAAAATGAAATAGAAACGAGCTGAAAAATCGGATACCAACTAGCTATTTCAAGCTCCCCAAAGGCCCAAACAGGCCCTTAAATCCTTAATATTCCTTCTATCCCATAATATAGAGAGAATTCTGTGTATAGTATAAAACAAGTTGCTCTTTCCTCTTTAGCACCTAAACTTTAAAAGTTTCCTATATAGATACTTCTAAAATTTTCCTTCTCTATGTAGCACTTTCGTTAGTTTTTATATTTGACGGTGTTAACTAGCAGGAGAAAAGACGATTATGTCCTTCTTAAGTTTTCAGACTTGCATTAGCCTCCTGCCTGTGATGTATATGTGAGCACTATGTTGACCGATCTGTTTCTTGTGTGTGTCGTGTGTATGTAGAAAATTCCAAAATATATAATCCCTCCATCACAAAATATTTGACGCCGTTGACTTTTTTAAAAATGTTTGACCGTTCGTCGTATTTAAGTAATTATTATTTTTTTTCCTATCATTTGATTTATTGTTAAATATACTTTTATGTATACATATAGTTTTACACATTTCACGAAAGTTTTTGAATAAGACGAACGATTAAACATATTTAAAAAAGTCAACGGCGTCAAACATTTAGAGAAGGAGGGAGTATTGATCAGCTGATGCAGTGCAATGGCTTTAATTGAATTGTTTCCTAATGCGTGTAGTAGCTTGAACCTGTCTCAGATTAGCTTTCCTATTTCTCTCGGAAACCATGCACGACAAGTATTAGCACGATCGATCAGATCGGCCGCTGCCATAGATCGTCGACTGCTGCTGCTGCTGCTGCTGCTGATCGATGTAGGCGCGCGACAAACAGGTCCCAAACTGTGTTGGTTCGTGACAGCACAGGACAAAAAAATAAAGAATAAAAAAAACAGCGGCAAAAGCAGCCAGTGGCAAATGTAGACTACGTGTACAGAGAAAGGGAAAAAAAAGTACGCCTAAAATACCAATGATCATGTACATGCAAGTCTGAAAACTAAAGAAGGATAAAACCGTCTTTTCTTTTCCTAGTAACACCGTCAAGTGTAAAAACTAACGGAAGTGCTACACGGGAAAGAAAATTGTAGAAGTGCCTAGATAGGGAACTTTTAATGGATGCTAGAGAGGGAAGAACAACTTTTTTGATGCGACATAGGGAATTTTCTCCATAATATAAGGCGCGGTCAAAGCTGACACGGTCTTTAAAACTAATCTAATGATATAATTTTTAATAAATAAAATTCATTTTATATTATACTAAGTATTGGTAAAATGTTTTAAAGGTTGAATCTTAAAATACGTGTGCCTTATATTATGGGATGGAGGGAGTAGTCTTCTCAAATCTCAACTGCTTTCTCGGTAAAAGGAAAAAAGAAAAAAAAATCCTTCCTAGCTGGTATATTTTCTGAAACTTTAGTACTTCCTCCTATCCAATCCCAAAATATAATAGATGTGATTCAACCAATTCTGGATAGAGGTTGCTATATTTTAGAATAGAAAAAATAAAAATAAAAATTTTAAAAATGAATCATATCTCAAAGTCAAATGAGTCGCGTTTCCAAATTCTAACGGTAACCGTTTTATTATCCGGTTCACATTTATAAACTGCTCGGCAAAACTGCCAAGTTTTAAAAATATCATATTTGTAAAATTAGGTGGTGTTTAGATCCAGGGACTTAACTTTAGTCCCTGTCTTTAGACACTAATTTAGAGTATTAAATATAGACTACTTACAAAACTAATTACATAAATAAAAGCTAATTCACGAGACAAATTTTTTAAGCCTAATTAATCTATAATTAGAGAATGTTTACTGTAGCATCACATAGGCTAATCATGAATTAATTAGGCTTATTAGATTCGTCTCGCAAATTAGTCCAAGATTATGGATGGGTTTTATTAATAGTCTACGTTTAATATTTATAATTAATTTTCAAACATCCGATGTGATAGGGACTTAAAAGTTTTAGTCCCATCTAAACAGGGCCTTAGTCTGAATTTTAGTGGCACAATCAAGTGGTAACCATGGTTATCGACTGGTCACTGATTGTGCCATGGTTATTCAGTGACCAGTCAGCATTCGTGAACCCTGAACTGACCACTGAGCCATCCCAAAAAATATGACATCACAATTTTCATTTCAGTTGAATCAAGCTCAAAAAACGTACAGCCAAGTCAGAACCACGTTTTCATCAAGACTAAGCGTACGCAAAGTTGACATACTTTATTTATATGCCTACCTGAATTTGTGAGGTTTGACTGCAGTTACTTCTTGAACAAAAGGACACTATTTTATGAATAATACATAGAAGTATATCTCAAGTAGTAAGTGGTATATACTACGCATTACGATCTTAGCACATTAGCCAAATGCACATGTAGAAATTAAGCTAAGCAGTCGAGACAGTCTTAAAAGGCTAAGATAAATAACCAGCTCCAGCAGCTAGACAGTCTTAAACAACTCATCCTATCCAAGCTGTTTCTCCTAGTGGAACTAACATAGGAATCTCATAAACAAAAGATAGAGTTCTTGTCACTGCGAACTTAGGCCTTGCATTCCTGAATAATCAAGAGGTACTTCATTTAGAAGATCCTTCGTAGTGACTTAACCCAAATTAAATTCCTTCCTCGAAGCTGAAGACTGCAAAAATATGTTGAGTATAATAAGCTCTATAAGGCACAGATCATCTAATAGATCATCTATACAATTAGTTTGTACAGCCAGATCAACAGATCATGTATACAGTGAGATATTCATATCATCTAATGGATTACCTGGATGTATTTCTTGTTGCTGCTCAGAGGCATCAGGGTTGAGATCAAAAGGATGCACAGCATGGTTGGCACCTCCCTGGACACCAATTCCAACATGTTCATCATCCTGGACACCATGGTTTTGATCTTCTTCCTGAACCGCAGGGCTAAGTTGCTCATTGAGGTCAGCTAACACCTCTGTATCTCCCTCATCTGGTGGTGAGTTTAGATCTATGGCCTTAACTGATCAATGGATGATGAAGTGGAAGGCCATAGAGGGGTAGCAAAAGGAGCTCTTTTTTTTTTCCTCCAAAATTTGGCACTACAGTATTTTTGTAACATTTTTAGCGCAATGGATGAAATAATCCAGATGTTTTTAGCATCCACCTCACCTGCACCTTCCCTTCTCAAATCAAATCAATCAAGCTCGAGCACACGCGCGAGCCAGCAGAATCGACTCGATTTCTCTACGAATTGTTGAGTTCGGAAGCTGTACTCCAATCCACGCACCATGGGCACAAGCTCGCAGGGGCGAAGCTAGGATTTGAAATTAGGGGGTGTGGGATGAAGATAAACCATGAGACCGAATAACTAATATTGATAACAAAGGAGATCAAATAGTCACCGTAAATAACAAGCAATGCGTAAACTAGTCCTTTAAGAAAAACTTGAATTTTAGCTCTTTAATAACATCATTGGAAGTTTGAAACTAGTCTTTATTGCTAAATTCTTTTAATGTAAACTATTGAATAATCTCACAAATAAGTATTATCTATTTTACTTTGAAAAAGATGAGAAATCACAAACTAATTTTATAGATCATGTTTTATGTTTCTTACTAATATTTTTAGACTTGCTAACTAACTAAACCGATAATACTTTCAAGCTACACAAAATAAACTAGATAAATATTTATCTTAGCTAACCTTAATATAGAGTAAAACATGGGGTGTAGTAGTGGTAGTGTTTGGATAGGGGGTATTGGCACCCTTTGGCACCCCCTACCTGCGCCACTGCAAGCTCGCCTAGCCGCCCTCCGACTCCACCACCTTCTCCCCCTATTCACGACAGGTACCCCTATTAAAATCATGGTTGTTCGACATGTGCTAAACTTACGATTTCATCTAACTGATTTATATTTTTGCAATTTTTCATTAAAATCGTATTATTTCAAAAAAAAAAACAGGAATTGGAGCGGATGGAAGCACCACCGGCCGAAGGAGATAGAGAGGAGGGAAGGTGATGTGGAGGAAGTGGGGGCCACTATTTTTTTAATCTTTTTGTTTGGCTGACGTGTGGGCTCACATATTTTGTTTTAATTTTTATTTTTTTAAATTTTGCTTCCAGTGCCACGTCAACGCCACGTGGGACGAGGACAATGTCAAACTAGTTTTGTAGGCACCACGTTAGCCGAAACCGTCATCCAAACCGCCTTGGATTTTATTTATACTGATTTTAGGAGTTGAGGGACGCATCATATCTCGTATCGTGGTTCAGGGACGAATTTTCATACTCGGCGATCAATTAAGGGACCTAAAGTGAACTTCTTATCTTTTGGAGCATCACGGCAAGAAGATGGGCAAAATGAACCTGGCCTGAGCTGAGCTTAGCCCAAAACATTATTTATTTATTTATTTTATCCAGTGCTTCACTCCAGGAGGTACGTTCTGATCCACAACCAAAGAAGCATCTCTCGCTGCGACATGAGCTCCACTGACTGACAAACATGCCCAAATACTTCTACCAGACGGGGCAATGTTGGTATAGCTGGATATTCGTCATCCCAGAGAGAATGAATCAGAATTAACCAGGAATCCAAAAGACATAATATAGCATGGCATATGATTGGTATATTAGGTACAACTAGATTACCAGCTAAGTTAACTTTTTAAGGGTCCTGCAGTTACAAGTTCTGAGTAAGTCATTTTGTCAGTTATAATCCGTTCCTGTGGCAATGACTAGAACTGGCACATACCTATATACAGAATACCGCACCCTTGTCACAGCAAATTAAGCACCAACGCTGAATGGTATCAGAGTAGTATATCCATGGACAGAGAAAATACAGGGTAAGTTCAAAAATCTAAGCATCATCTGCAGCAAATAAAATGTTCAGTTACTTGACAAGAAATTTAAAATACCGGAACAGACTACAAAATGAGTTAGTTCCAACAAAACCCATTTTCAGTAATGCGTTTCATATAATCCTATGTTTCAAGGCAAAATGTTTTATAGAACATCATATTTATGCCAAAAAAAATAGCATGCCATTATGATATATAATATTTAAATTATATACTGACA